AACTGAGTTTGCGCAGAAACAAAGGTCAATCAGCAAACACCATGATGAAGAGGATGGGCCTTCATCTTGGGACCCCCGACAACCACCACCAGGAGGCACTGCGCAAGCGCAGTTGGGTCATGCATATGTATAGGTGGATTGGGAAATCTGATGAATATGTAATACTTGACTGTATAAATTGAAGAGGCAAGTTACTGCCCAGCATGCATGACTTTGGTGGGGCTACCCCTGTGCCGCCTGGCGCCAAATAAACATACCTACTTTACAGTCTTACAGATTGTGGAGTCTGTTTTCCACACGTCACCTTCCCTCTTGTAACTCTGGCTTCCTTCTGCAACACTTTTGTTCTGTCTACCATGGTCTGTAAACGAAACCAACGGTCCCTCTCCCAGCCTTGCCCCTGGAGCAAGGGCCGAGCTCGGTGAGCCTCTGGAAAGTCAGACAGTCTCTGCTTCCTCACCTGCTTCCTCACCTCACAGACAGATGTGCAGTCACAAGTGTCGGCTGCCTTCAGGGCGGCCGTTTTCCTGCGAAGGGGAAGTCCTCCCGGGAGGGCCACGCTTTGAAATCTGAGCTTTCCCTGTACGCTCCCGGAAGGCTAAAACGTAATCTAAAGCACAAAATTCCCACAAAGTTGATCCTACATAAGTTCCTACAAAGGGGATATCATCCTGAGAGGGTCACACCTTAAATTCCGAGTTTCCCCTACACACTCCCAGGAGGCCAAGCCGTACACTAATGCACAAGTCCGCGGTAAGAGCAGTACAAGAGGAAACGAGAAGCCGCCATTCACGCCTTCCTCACCCTTCGTTCACCCTCGGTCACAGGCAATCACAGAGCGCACCACAGCGAGGAGGGACAGCACTCTCGTCTTGAGGGATCCCGTCCGAGACGCCAATAAAAATGTCCCGATCCGATATTGGGGAGGTTTCGATATGATCCCAAGGACGAAATTAAGACGCAAAGGGAGTCAGATGCCGTGCAACCTTGTAAACTTTATTTCGGTGAACCGGGAATTGCAGGTCGGCGGGGATGGCAGCGGGGGGAGGACACGAGAACAAGAGAGAAAGAAGTAAAGTCGATAAAAACCCAGGGGGCGAGGAAAGGAGTGCAGGGGGGGAGATCAGTTACCACCACCACGGATTCAACGACTCCCAGAAATGTCTGGTCGTCTCTGTGCAGGCGTGGGGGTCCTGGCAAGAGCGCTCAGAGGAGCCATGTGCTGCCCTTTTATAGGGGCATCTGCTCAACACGCACGCGCAGTTCGTGCCACACACGCTGCCGCTGGGACACATCCTCTCTTGCTGGTCTGAGCGCTGCTCCGCGTGCAAGCGCTTCCCTCCGGGCCGTTGAGGCAGTTTTTTCGGAGGGCGGGAAGAGGCGACAACGGCAACATGGAGACAAAACCAGTTCGCAGCGGCCTTCTACAGAGTACCGAAAGGGCAGCCTGTGTTTCGAACAAGATGCCCTCTGGAGCACCAGAAGCTTTCTGTCGTCACCTGCTCAGTGACATGCCTCTGATGTGTTTTGTTTGCTTGGAACAGTCAAGCATAATCATGTAAATTTAAGGGGGACACATTTGAGCAATGCAACAATAAATATTAGTGTGGTTTCCTTCAAATGGGATGATATCCCTGATCATACATGAATATCCAGTCAATTGCCAACTAAAATTAGTCCTTTTAAACTACTGAAATAAATGAGGGTTGGGGGGATAACCCACATAGGTGGTGACATCTGCAGTGGAAGTGAAATAACTTCAATATTTGTGACTGTCTGATTGAGGTGTCAAGGTGTTTTGGAAGGCGAGCAGGGCTGGTGCAAAACTGAGGGTAAAGTGATGCATTAGTTTTAGCCACTCAGATGCTGTTGACTCATCCAAGGTCTCAGGAGGATATTTTTCCTTTGAAAATGCTAATATGTATAAATATGTATAAAGGAGGAAGAAAATAAATTTATTTGTATATTGCTTATCCCAAAATGATAAACAAGAAACACTCCAGAGTCTTCATGAAGGGAA